CGGGGGGAGGGGGGGGGGTTGGCGGGGGCGACGGTGGGAGGCTGCATGCTGTGTGCACGCGCGCGCAGCACGCTCTCGCATCAACCCCGGCGCCCACTCTTCGCAATGAACAAGCCGGTTTTACACAGCCGTGAAAACGCGGGATCTCTCGCGGACCAACAGTACTCCGTACTGTATTAGCGATTATTCTTATCGGAGTATCTCAACTACTGAGAGAACGTATGGGGACTGATATCGCAGGGCTGGGTGTCGTGACGTTGTGTGTACGAAGATCTCGCGATTATTTATAATAAAATGCACCGAGTCACGTAGAGAGTCAGTGTCGCGCAAGTTTATCGCACGGCCGGTGTTTTTCAATCATTTTAAGCAACCGGCGAATATCGCTAACCCGATACGAGATGCCGGCCGTGTATATGGATCAATAAACGTGATGTCGAATTTTGAAAGTGCCGAGGATGCGTATCTTGTGTCAGAATGTTTCAAAGGCATCTCAAGTATTTCGGCATCTTCGATGAACGGTATCACGCGATTGTCACAAAAATGATAGCTATTTATATGAATCATTTGTAGCTGTTCTGTCAAATTCCTCGAAATAATTATAATTAATTCAATTGGCAGGGCTTAGATTTAAAAAAAATTATTATACACATATTCTAAAATATATCTTATACATTTATATCATTTGCAGTTATTCCGTTAAATTCATCGTGATCATTATTTTTACAAAACTTACAAATTTAAAAAAAAATCATTACTGCAGTTATGAAATATTTTAGATTTGTAGGTATTATTTGCAATTCTACTAACTCGAATAATTGTTTTTAATTTAATTGACAGGTTAAATTCTTAAGAAACAATTATATAAATTACGTAATATATTTATTTAGATTTATATGAATTAGTAGTTATTCTTAACTTTTTTTTTAAATAATTATAGATTTTATTTAAATTCGCAAGACTTGGATTTAAAAAAAATTATTATACTGCATATATATATATATATCACGAAACATATTCTACCAAGATTTATATGAATTACCTACAATTATTTTATTAATAGTTGTTTTTAATTCAATTAGCAAGACTTAGATTTTTCAAAAATTATTATATATACATCTTACAGAGCAATCACTTCAATTTGTAATTATTTCTTTTCTTAAAAATTCCAAAATTATTGTAATCTTTAATTTAATTTGTAGGACTTAAATTAAAAAGATCCATGCATTTGCGAACTTTTGCGAATCGGTGTTACACGAAAGACCGGCGAGAAACTTGTACTTCTCGTTGCGACCGACTCTCTACCGCTGTCCTCTCTAATCTCTGTGGCATAAACAATGATCATTATTATCGTCATAGCCGCTGAGTCGGCACGAATGGCGCGTAACTTTATCGCTTTTCTTAGCGATAACACCGTCGGCGATAATGGTCGATAGGGAGCGCCGAGGAGTAGGTGCATTATCGCCAGTGTTATCGAGACGAAACGACATATGCGCTATGCGTCATCCTTTCAGGTTCGAATAATTCAGAGTCTCGAGAAATGCTGCACGTATACATTTTCAACTAAGTCTAAAAAACTGAATAATGACTACATTTCGAGCCGCAATTTAATATTAATCACAGTATGTCAGAGCCGTAATTAACTTACATCGCTAATCAATTTTTTCATTAAATAAGAGACAATAACAGATCTAATCAGAAAGGCAAATCCACGTTGAAGTTCGATAAATTTCAGCTATATCATCACTTTCGTCGAATGTTTTCATCGTCGTCTGGATAATCTCGTCAGTCTGATAACAATTTATATAACTCGCCACGAGGCGATTTCGTAATCGCTGTTGCTGCTATACGTTAAGAATCGCGAAAAAATCACGCTGAAATAAGCCGTCTCGGGGCCGAATGAATGATGTGAAATTTCTGTTTATATCTCGGTTATTTACATAACATACCGACGATAAGATGGGTGGCAAGTTTACATCATATCTCGAATTATTACACGCCCATTAATGACGCTCGCGCAACAATGTTCGCTAACGAGACGAAACGATTGAGACAGTCGAAACGTCGATTATGTTGATCACGGCACGTCGACGTTCCGTCAGCGTGCGAGGAGAAAAAAGAGGAAGAAAAGAAAGAACCGAGGATAGCACTGACGTCACAGGCAATTTGGTGAACGTCGACTATCACAGCTGCTGCGTTCTCTCTCTCTCTCTCTCTCTCTCTCTCTGCCTCTGCGTCTCTACCGTAACGAAACTAGTGTGCTTCTGTATTTGAATCCATTACTTTCAATATAAGATAAATATACACTCATAATATTATTTACATTCAGAGACTTCCGTATCTCACTCTATCTTGTTACCACTGTATTTTCATAATTTTTTCTTTCGCGGTTTTCTTTTTATATTTCATGAAGCTTTTGGTATATTCATTTCCGAGCTTTCTAATTTTTATAATTTTATATGTAACTGCATGTATTTAAGACTCTAAGGAAGGATATTCCAGCAACATAAATAATGATTCTCTCTCTCTCTCTCTTTCTCGTCAAAGCCAAAGCCCAGCGAATGACATCAATCTGACATCATAGTGTACAGCACGAGATCGTAACGTGAATCCTCCTCTCTGAAGAGCGAGGGACGATTTAGCCTCGACCATGGCGGGGGCAAGGAGACGTATAATTAGACGAGTTGGCTTATCAATGCCCATTCGCCGCCATCTCCGTTCGGGTCCGAGTAAACAAATGTTTCTTGCCATGCCTGGATATAAATATGTATCTCCTTCTCGAAAGTGTGTATATAGATTAAACCGAGGAAATCAACGGTAAAGGAAAACCACAATCGTCTGCGAGATACATGTAGTGTCTAACAGATAACCGATAACTTATGTGTTACGTAACATAAGTAAATAATGGAAGATAACGTACATAAATTACGTAAAATACACTGATAATAAATTCTTACGTAGAAAAAAAAAAATGGGTAGATAATAATGTTAAGAACAAAGTATTTTTTAAGTATAGCATTTTGAACACACAAAAAGTAAAGAAATAAAGATCCTAAACGATCAAACTGGATCTATGGTGCTTCAAAAATTCAGTGTGAATTTATATGCATATCCACTCTAATCCTACGTGCTGAATTTAATTTTCTAATAGAATAGTAATATTATAAATTAAATTGATGACAAGCAATTTAATAATATTGACTCTCACAGGCATCTCAGACAGATCTTAATAATCTGACGCATGAGCATGTTAAAAATAATTTAATCGCGAGAAATATTTCCTCGACTGTCGATTGGAAAAATGAGTAATATCCACGTAAGCGTGTAATAAGCAGGTGTGATTTGCCCAGACATATTCTTATCTATAATACGCGTGATTTTACCGTACTTAATCAGATCTCGTGTTCCTCTCGAGAAACGAATAACGAGGCTGCGAAGGCCAGATCGAGGATTACCGGAGCAACCGCAAACACGCGGCCACCGTCGAGCAAATCGAACAGACGCCGAGGCGATTGGTAAATTTGGCCTGACCTCTGGATAACTCGGCCACGTGCCGCCTGTATATTACGGTGCAGGGCGTAATGCGCCAAACATTATTTATCGGGTCGGCACCAAGAATACACACCGCTGACGGGAGATAACGGAGACAGTTCGCCGATTGACCGACTCGACCGGATCTCCCACCGCGAATCCAGCGTTCGCGTAGACGTAATAAAACATCACGGCATAACAGCGCGCGACCCAGTGAATATTATCAGGGTCTCGCGCATAAACCGGATGAGTGCCCTTGCACCCGGATTCTAAACTCGCGCCATTTTTAATGTAAATCATTTAAAGACGTATATGGATTTCTATATTCGGGAAGTTTTACATAATAATATAATATGAGTTGGTTGAGATACAAATATAAATTGTTTATCAGCTCGATATTTCCGTCGTGTTAACGTATGCGCAATAATTAGTATTAATTTGTTATTTTTACGCTGAAGATAACCTCAACGAATGACCGAAATGTCGCTGTATTTAATCTTAATCAATACACAAGCTTTTACACAATTTCCATCTAGTGTTTTGCCTTTCACGAACTCTCTTTTATCGTAATGATTTATTTCTACTACATTTCTCTTTATTTTGTAAAGCACGCGGCTTTGCGCTCAAGTATCTAAGGAATTTAGCTAACAGTCTGAAAATAATTTTGTTGGATTACCAAAATAATTATACAGAACGCTCAGGCTTGTTGCTGGAACTGGTTGCCTAGCTTGAGTTTTCTGTATATAATTATTTTAATAGTCCACAACAAAATTGTTTTTACATATATAATTTACTTAAATTTTTAGACACTTCAATCAGTTTTTCCGTGCATTAGAACGAGTTTTTTTAATTCGTCGATTGTAATCAATCGATGAATTAAAAAAACTCGCCTTTATTTGAAAAAATTAGATCAGAGGTTGTCGATCGTCATATCTTTCATCTATACTTTTAATTTTTATAATTTAAGCTTATAGCTAAGTTATAATGAAATGTTTAAGACTTTTAATTTTGTAATTAAAGAGTTCTTTTCAACTGTAGAAGGGACGAGCTCAGACGAGAGAGACGAATATCGGAATAACTGTTTTTTGTAGCTAGGTATAAGATGAATCT